GCAGGGAGGTGTCCGAGCCCGGGTATGAGCTGACTGCGGCGTCTGCTGCGGGACTGGGACGCCGCCATGAACCTGCACCAGGTACTGACCGGCGCCGTGAACCCCGGCGACCACTGCTTCTCGGTGGGCAGCGTCGGCGAGCAACACTTCACGGTGAGTGCGGGAGAGAGAGAGGGAGAGGGGAGGCCTGGAGCAGGCTGACGCTTCGCTTGCTCGGCCTCCGCTCCTTGTAGCGTGCTTTCGGGCTTTCAGAAATGGTAGTCCGACCCTCTCGGGCCAAAGTAGCTCTTCCAAAATGATAGTTGAATCACGAGTTGGGGGTGGGGTGAGGGGGTCTTTTGATTTTTCTGCTGCCTAGCGAGAATTGTCGAATGAATTTAGTTTCAGTCGTTGGGATATGTTTCATTTTTTCCAGTTCTAAGGTCAAGCCCTTGTAGTCTTAAAACAGTTACTGATTATTAAACCGGCACAAATAGCAGTATAATGAAAACAGCGCCTATTTATTTTCCTTAAAGTTCGCCGACGAATAACTTTGCAAGGAAACTATTCTTCATTCATTCCTATCATCCTTTCAGTTGCAGAGGCAGCAGCCTTGTACTTCTTGAAAAGTTTTGAGGGTATTCAAGGTAATGCTGACAGTTTCACCATTGTAGTTTTAGGCTATCCCCTGTTTGCTAAGGTTAAGATTTAGCCAAAGTGACTTGCTCTTCTTTGCCTTTTCCGGCTATTAGAACGAAGATGATCGGTCTCACATTTCTGGCTTTATCGTTATAAATAACATTTCCGTCTTAGTTTAGCTTTTCTACTAATTTCAAGTCATAACTCAGTAGTGGGCTTGAGATCATTAGTCTGACTATAGCTGTAGTACTGATGACTTTTGCCGCAACTTTGTAATTAAATGTAGTATTCAATTTTGTATAGCTAAAACAAACAGCTTAATAGTTGCCCCATGCTTAGGAATCATAGTTTCCCGAATACGTGTGTGTGTGTGTGTGTGTGTGTGTGTGTGTGTGTGTGTGTGCTGGACTAAGTAATACTCACCATTTAACGTGATTTAGGCATTTAATACTTAAAGTGTACTTCTAGAGTTGTGTCAACTAAGTTCCCTGCTTTCGGATAGAGACTGGGTAGTGGCACATGATGCTAGTAGTTGTCAAGATTCTACTTCGTGCTGTTTGCCTAGGGGAAGTGAGGGGAGGGAGAAGTCTTAGCACTTGTCACCCCTCAGCTGACATTGCTGTCCATTCTTAAGGGAAGGAAGTACAGCTTCCTTGGAGGTCTCCCAAGGTGGAAGAGTATAGGATAGAGAAGTCTTACATTTTCTGACATCCCCTAAGCTTTATGAGGGCTTTCTCCAAGGCAAATGCTCTCAGCTTCTAAAGGAAGACGTTCTGAATGTACACAAAGCTGTGTGGGTACTTCATAGAATGATTAATATGACTGTTCATTTTTACACCTACATGTATTCCTCTGTAAAACCTTGGCCAGTTGCTTTCATGTTGCTTTTCAGGAGCTAAGAAATGTATCTTAAACTATCATGTAACTTGTTGCCCAGTTCTGTTTTTAAAGTCAGTTTTTCCTAAAGCAAGTGTTGATGACCTTCCCCAAGCTGGTTGCAGATAGCTTTCAAATAAGCATACAAATAAGTTACATACACATTTATTCACACATTAGAGAGTAAACACATATAAATACATTAGTTTGGTATAACAATCCCAGCTCTCTTTTATTTTAGAGTCATGTTTTTTCCTGCAGCCAGCTGTAGTTCCATTTCAGCAAATTTCTTGCCCTTGGTTTCCTGATTAAATTAGTACATCTTATATTTCTTTGTCTTGAAATTGCCCGTTTTCTCCTTCATGTTTATGAACAGTCTATTGTTTTCTCCCTTGAGATTTGTTTTTAACCTCTTTTGTTTGAATGGGATTGAAGGCTCTGAGGATCAAATCATAGGCCTCTGGCATTCTAGTCAAGCATTCCTCCAAGCTCATACCTCCGCCCCCCACAGCTTTTGAGGTTTTTTTTTTCAGCAAGAAGAGCAAAATATTAATGACAGATTATATGCCAAGACTAAAAATCCCTCTGAGTAGCAGTTGTACTTGAGGTGAGGGCTTGAGATTTTGCAGTCTCCTGTTGAAGGATCCCTTCATCCTTTGTGGAACTTGATGATATCGCTGAAGTTGAGCCCATCTGCAATTCTTCCCTTTACACTTTTGCAAATATTTCAGCGTTCGGAGGATCACAAGAACAAGACTGGTTCCTAAGTAAAGTCTCGACATACTTCAAATTGAATTTGAATGCCAATTTTCATGTTTTAAAATGCTCAGTTACTAATATAGGTTATATCAAAACATTTAGGTTTTTTTTTTTCTTACTACATCAACTGCCTCAAACTAGTTTGGATTTGCTCTTGGAAAGCTACTAGTGGACACTGACTATCTCACTCATGCTTTCAGAATGAATGCTTTTATTTCATTGTTAAGTACTTCTGCCTTGAGTATGTGTTCTCAGTGGCTTCCTTGGGAGTGCATAGACAGTCACTGAAGTAGCCGTTGAGTCATAACTGCTTTGGTTTCAAGCATGGTTCTTTTTGTTTGTTTTTTAGTGTTTTCATTTAGCTATATATATTTTTTCCACTCTCCTTCCTTCTCCTCTTCCACCCTCTGTTTTTGAATTTTTTGAGATTTTCTCTGTGTAACGGTTCTGACTGTCCTGCCACTCGCTTTATGGAGCAGGCTGCTCTCAAACTCACTGAGATATGCCTGCCTCTGCCTCCCAAGTGCTGGGATTAAAGGTGTGCATCATCAACTCCCGACTCAAGCATGGTTCTTTATAATTAATTAGGTTGTTTGTTTGCCTGCTTGCTTGTTTTTAAATTTTGAAAATTTTGTTTTTGTTTTTGATTCAAGGATCAAGCCATTGGGCCTTGCACGTGCTCACATGCTAGGGAAGCTCTTTGAATCTTAAACACTGTTTTCACCTTTTCTTTTGAGGCAGCGCCTTGCCATAATGCCCAGGACTTCTGATCCTCCTGTCTGCTACTAGCTTGGGCCACAGGTCTTTGTCATTAGTTCTTTTTCTAACTATTAAATTTTATTTTTCTATCTTTTAATGAAACACTGTTTGGTGATTGTTACATGAAATGTTTGCCTATTAAATTAAGGTTATAGTTCATTGTGCCTAATTCATGGTACTTTGTACTAGAAAGTACTTTATAAATACTGGTTGACTTTATTGTAGTGCAGTTAATAATTGCAGTCTTTTAAAATTGCTTTAATAATTTAGATATGAGTCTAAATACAATATTTCTACTAAAGTTTCATGAAGTTTTTTTCATAGTCCATTTGTTACACGTTTTATCATCAGCATCAAATGAGGAATTAGGAGATATAATGGATACATGAGCCAAATTATTTTTTTTCCTTTGGTTACAGTAATGCTTCCCTCTTTCTTTTATTCATCCTAATTTCCTTTGAGGGGGGATTGAGGAAATGCTCAGTTTACAAGACACAGTAATTTTAAGAGATACCATTAATTAGAATTTAAATGTCTTAATAGTTTGTATAGAATGCTGACATAAAATACTTTTTCCTTTTATAATTAATCCATACTTAGTGCCGACAATGTGTTTTGGAAGAAATAGAAAGGGAGTTAATTTGTTTTTTTTCAATTTCGTTACTTTTTTAATGTATGTATGTGTCACATGTGTGGTAGTCAGAAGACAGCTTGTAGGAGATTGTTCTCTTCATCT